TGGATGGATGGATGGATGGATGGATGGATGGATGGATGGATGGATGGATGGATGGATGGATGGATGGATGCACTTCTTGAAACCATCCAGAAATGAAATAGATTTGTGATTAGTCCTCAACTGGATTAGAAACGACCGACATCTTAAGGGCAACCGTACATTTGAGGAGAATGATCGATTGCATGCATGATGATTCATTCTTCATGCATTCCACATTTGATATTCATTCTGAATGCATAAATAAATGAGTCTGGATAATGAGTTTTAGTGCATTGTGGTTGAGTGAAGCGATGAATAAATGGGGAGGACAGCAATTCCATTTCGATTTTCTTTCTCTACGCTTCTAGATAGTAGAATATTTCATCATACGAAATGAATGAACGAATGAGCGAGCAACAATCACTGAATTCGAACAGTACCAACAACGTAAAGACATTACGAAGAAATAAATACATTACGCTGTCAGTAATCAATTCACAACGACCATACTATTAAAAATAACGCAATCATCAGTTTCAACGGCTTCATTTCACTTTCAATGCGATATACGTAAATATTGAAGTTATTTGTTGCAAAAACATAATCACAATTATTTTTGGAACTATAATGAGCACAACAATGCTCTTGATCTTCCTCCTCAATAAGATAGGCACTGCTGGCTCATTTCACTTTCAGTGAATTATTCAATGACACTAAAATCTAATATTAACAAAACAAATTTCATTAAGCAATAAGAATTGTATACTTTCCTGAATTCAAATAAAATAATTTATGCATTTTCGAAGAATTTTTGATGCTTTCACCTAAACTGACTTCAAAATACAATCGGACAAAGATTCACGACAAACGAATTGAATTCAAAACAATGACAGATACACAGTGAACAATTTGTATTCAAAAAGAAAACATTCCAGAAGAAATATTCCCGTAATATTCTCACGCATCAGAATGGATTCCGGTTNTCGGACGAATGATCCACTCGAAACGCCACCAGAATGCTATGCGAATGTCCAGTGATAGCGTCAGCCTCACACACTCGAGTACACCGTTGCATTTTCATTACCACTTGTGGAACTGTCTCGGGCTAGAATCGTTTCATTTCATTTCAGAGCAATTCATTAACACAACAACCACAATAATAACACAGTTGGTCAGCAATCATATTCTTATAAACACGCTCATCGACAGAAAAATGAACACATAATCAAGTGAAACGCAAATTATAAAATGGCTCAAGCACTTCAAAATCAGTAACATTGCTAGACCATTTCACGTTCAGATCAAAACTTCCACTGGCGAGTTCCGCTCGAATGCCACTTCACAAACACAGACATCAGCAGCAATCATGACGATGTCAATACTGAGTAGTAATGAGGCTATTATGACGGACGAATTCATGACGGATTCAAGCTCCATACCGCCCCGTACAATGAGTCTTATTCTTCTATTAATTCAGAGATGAAATTTATAATCAGCTGAAGTCAACATATAAAAACAGTAGATGAGACTTGAAGTGAGGTGATGAACGAACACTACTTACATGATCATCGAGCGCATAGCACAATTCACCATCGTCATACAGCTTGAAACAACGTCGTTGCCATCTCTGCAAAATGCAAAGTGCATTTGTTTCTGAATTGCATGCAAATTTTGCAGAATTCTGACCATTCAACGGGATTAATCCACCCGAATCAACACTGTCTCAATCATTTTTCAATGCAATGTCACTGATGTTCTCGACGAAATCACTTATACTAACCTTTGCTGAATGCGATGGTGCCGAAAAGTCAATATTTGGTGGTGCCACATACAAAAAACCACATGCCGTCACTTTACGGCTCATCTGAAATATTATTTTCATTGCAGAGAATGATGCAAACTCATTTTTTCCTCTCAAATATCAAGTTTAAAATCGCTTCCTTAAGCGTTCTGAACATGAATTTAATACGGCTGAATTGCCAGTTACACGTCGAAAATCGCCTGCGAAACAGTGAAACACGTGCATTGGCATCATACGAAACAGCATTTTAAAAATCTAAAAAATACGCCATCATTAGATGCTGATTAATATTCCGAATGAGCAACAAAACTTCAACTACATTTCAAGATCATGCAGTTGGTTTTAAAAGGTAAATAAATCCAAGTGTTTGTCTGATGATAGCAACGTCGAATGAAAATATGAATTCGAATGAATAAT